AACTATGAGTTCTTAACGGATCTCATATATATATATATATATATATATATATATATATATATATATATATATTTGAAAATTAAATTACTCTGTTCCAAAAAAAAAAAAGGGTTATAAATAGAAAATTTTAAGACAAACCTTCAATGATCTATATTACAACTTTACAAGTTTCTAATTAAAAAACACGATTACTTGAAAAAAATATTGATTTTCTAACAGAACCTCTTATTTAATAACTAGTATTCTATAAACTTATTATAATACAGATTATTAAATGGTAAAATCTGAAAATATGTTTCGAAAATAAAAATTATTTTCTTCAAAAGGAAACGCAGTGCAGATGACGCAGTCAGGCAGGCGGTGGTGGAGCGATTTTACAGTTCGAAGTTCGTCCTTTCAACGCCGGCGGCGGCGGCGGTGGTGGCGCTGGTGGCGGTGAAAGAAAAATACGGAAATTCCGAGGTCGACTTAGCTTTGGTGCCGGAGGTGCCCTCTTGGGTACCGTGCGTAAATTTGGAGCTGTGCTCCGCATCTGTGTCGTTGATGGTGGCGGAGGTGGATCAGAGAACATATAATGCGGAGCTCCACTTAACTTAGGCGCCGGTGGTGGTGGCAGCTTTCTAAGCTTCCTCCTACCGGAAACTACAGTTCCTGTAGAAAATTCTGGACTCATCGTTAAAGTCTGATCTAAATCGACGGAAACTACGGAATTAAGTATTGGAAGCAATAGATTTACCTGGATCTGGTTCGATGAATGAAGCAGAGTTTGCTTGAAGAAGATGATCAAGTACCAGAATCAGAAGCAGTAGAGCTACTCGTTTTGCGTATAAGGCATTCATAGCCATAGCTGGAGCCTTTTCCCTTGACCCTGGTTTTGATTTGTTGAGATATATAGTACTACTTTATACTTTTATATATAGTGAATAAATATCCGAAGAATTAATTTTTTGTGGGGCAATGTCACGGTACCCTAGAGATAAATTCTGTGTTAATTTTTCCATGACACCTCTACATTAATTCGTCGATTTACAGCATCACAAATTCCTATGCATGATATATCAAGGGGATAATGACTTTAAAAGGTAACAAACTTTTGATTTTGTTCATATTTAGTCATTAAATTTTTTTTTCATTATTTATTTGTCACTGAACTATTTAAACTGATCATTTTTACTCTTATGACCGGTAACAACCGGTCATAAGGGTAAAATATGAACAATTTCAATAGTTCAGTGGCAAATAAAGAATGAAAAAAAAGTTTAGTGACTAAATATGAACAAAGTCGAAAGTTCGTTTCCTTCTAAAAAAAAGTTGAATGACTAAATGTGAACAAACTTTCCTCTTGTATTATGGTTTTGCAAATTATGTATTTTTGTTAAATTTTAACAACATTTGTTGATGAAGAAATCTATGAAATAATAACAAAACAAAACCCCGGAAAAAGGTATAAAAAAACGAAAAACGAAACCAATATTATATGTATAAGTTTTATGTTATAAAACTATGCAATATTATATGTATAAAACTTATCCTAATATTATATGTATGAATTTTGTGTATAAAATTATACAACACATAAATTCACATACATTAAACCATATACGTTGTTTATAAAAGAATACATACATACATTGATACATTATATATTTTGTTATACTCCATGTATTGACATACATCATATTATTATATTTATTATTAAAAAATATCGAAAATGAAAGTCAAGTTGTTTAGAATTTAGATATTTTTAATTTACCCGGACAATTGATTTATATTTGAGATTGTATTTTCTTAAAGAGTTTGAATAATTATTGAAATTTATGATTATTTAACTAGACATATAGAGTTAAATAAAACCTTTAACATGTTTTATGAATGGTTGCGCCCAAACCACCCCATCCATATTACCTTTACAAAAATATTTCTTTTAGAAAAAGAAAGGTATATATTCAACAATTAAAATGGCGCTATGGGTGAGAATGGTTCATTTTTTGTTAAACCAACATCATATTGGAAATTTTGATTTTTTATTTTGGAAAATACCAAATCATTGGTTTTTTTATTTTGGATTCGGTTTTTTGTTTTTTTTAATATATTTTTCGGGGTTTTGTTTTTTTATTTCATAGATTTCTTCATCAACAAATGTTGTTAGAATTTAACAAAAATAAATAATTTGCTAAAACATAATACAAGAGGAAGTGTATTCATATTTAGTCATTAAACTATTTTAGATGGAAACGAACTTTCGACTTTGTTAACATTTAGTCACTAAACTTTTTTTTCATTTTTTATTTGCCACTGAACTATTGAAACTGTTCACATTTTACCCTTATGACCGGTTGTTACCGATCATAAGGGTAAAATGTGAACAGTTTCAATAGTTCAGTAGCAAATAGATAATGAAAAACATTTAGTGACTAAATGTGAACAAAGTCGAAAGTCCATTACCCTTTCAAGTCATTATCCCTATATTAAGAAGTAGTTTAGAAGTCGTATAAATTTATCGTTTAAAAAAATTCATAAATATTTTACGAGACTCATCAATCTAATAAAAATATTAAGTAAATGTCTATAAAATGGTTAATGACCTACGAGAGTAATAAGGCTTTAATTTTGTCTACATTGGGTCCCTAAAGTCTTTTGCACATATTACACCAACATTGTTGTTATAACCGTTTAAATGTCGTCCCTTTTATGACGACATTTAAACGGTTATAACAACCATGTTGATGTAATATGTACAAAAAAAAAACCCTAGGGACCTAACGTAAACAAAACTTTATTACTCTCTTAGGTCATTAACCCTTAGAAGCTTTTAGAATAATTACATAAATGAACCTTATGATTTACAAAAAATCATAAATCATTTAATTTTAGTAAGAAATTACTTAAAATCCAAAATTTGATTAAGCTTCTAAAAATGTAAAAATGTAGTTAACATCTTTTGAAAATAATTTGTCCATAATAAATCATACATTCATACAATATATGTCATTTATATTTGAACCTAACACTTTAAGAGGAAGGGGTTGTTTGACAGTTGCTGATTGAGTCAGGTCTGACTGAGTTCGAAGATCTGACTGAGTCTGGTCTGATTGAAACCATGTTGTTTGATTATACATCTGATTGACTATGCTGAATAATGAAAATGACCATATTACCCTTCTATTCTATTTGTGTTGAATAAAATGTATCTTTTTGATAAATCATTTCAAATCCAAATATAAAATGCATATAATTCATACTTTTACAACATTATCAAGTTAAAATTTCTATTTTATATTGCAATAAATAGATATTATAATTTTTTTATTACTATCAACGATAATATATCGTTGTCTGTGTAAACTAAAGAAAAACAACCATGATTCACAACATGTTAACAAATGAGGATAAAACAAACACGGTTTACTTTCACAACTTCAGTAGATTCGATGAACTCTGCAACCACCACATTATAGCAATGCAATCTCAAATTTTCACCAAAAATAACATGGATTTATTCCACAACTTGTTCACTCTTATTGCTTCATGTTTCATGTGGATTTACACCATCTTCCTGTTTCATCATCTTTACTATCACTTGCACTCATCAATTACAATAAATACTTTTTATCAGCTTCCTATTTCAGTGGTGGAAGAATCTACCATTGGTTCACTCTTATTGCTTCCTCTTTCATGCTTTAGTTCCAAGATTTATGTGACTGATTTGGTATCCAAAGAAACCTCTTTTATGATTTGATTTGGTATCCAAAGATCCCATATGAAGTTTCTACAATAGATTATAGTAAAATTAGGATTATTGAATAACAAGAGATCAGTCATTATAAATGGATTATTGAAGATACAACTTGAAAAGCCTAAAAACCTAAATAGCACCTGTTCCATTTGTAAGAAACTAATGAATTAAACACCCAAAATCACTCGTATTATATAAAAAACATAAAATTAATTTTTGCCATCGTCTTCAACTTTCTGATTGTAGGTTGTAGTTTCAGGGACCAATATCATTTGTAACACAAATACATACATAAGGAATTAAACACTTGCGCACATGGATAGAGATATGGATCATATCTAACTAAAAAGACAAGGGAAAATAATGAAACCTTTTCAGCATCGATTTTAGATGGTAGTGGAGAAGTGTGATTTCATCATCAATTTCAGATAGTGTCGCCAAGGTCAAGATGATTTCAGATGGTGTCCATTAGGTCAAGATGATTTCAGCATCTATAGGAAGAACAGTAGTGCGAAGAGAGGAGAGAGGCATACAGGGGCAACGTAGTCCAATTTCCCAGTCAGCGTTAATTTTTAGATGACTCGGTAAGTGATGAGTGGGCCGAGTAAGAGGTTTAAGGGGGGCGTTATCAAACATCATGACTCGGACCGGGTGAGACATAACCTCTTACTGGACCAGTAAGAGGCTTATCAAACAAGGCCTAGTATTTATAATTGGTTTATGTGGTTTTCAAAAATATCAAATTTAGTTATGAACTTTTTTCGATTTTATAGAAGGTTCTTGTTGTTTTAATTTTTATCGTGATATGCCCTTTTTCCTCTTTCTCCGGTAGTTGTTCCTCCAAATATCACTCGTGTAAGCCTTCATCAACCCATCCCTCCACTATTAGGCGCCACCATCACCCTTCTTTCCCACTACAATTCTTCTTCCTTAATGCTTATTTACATTTCCCCCAACTAAAATAGGATTTGTTGGTAGCAGTAGCAGAACAGATGATGTCGTAAAAAGAAGGGAATGGAGGGGTTATGGCTTTATAGAAACAATTTGGTTTTCATGGTGGTTTGTGGGGTATTTATTATTATTATTATTATTATTTTTGATATTGCTAACGTCATTTTCATTTTCACGTTGGTTCCAAAAAGAATGAAAAACAGGTACCATTAATCCTAATTAACCCTTATTTCCCTCTGAAAAGCAAATCACCACAGGTCAGTTTAATTTTGATTTTTTTAGCTAGGGTTTTTATTGATTGTTTGTTAGGCCGGACGGAGTGGTGAGCGGGGAAGCCGTGGGAAACGATCCCGCATGAAGAAACACCGCACCGGGGGTGCGGGAAAGGAAACGCGGGAAAAAGGTGGGAGGAGGGAGTCCCGCACTCTCTCTCTTCACATGATTGGCTGTTTATTTATTTTTTATTTATTTTTTCTTTTTTTGATTCCAAACGGGCCGTTATATATATATATATATATATATATATATATAT